GAACTTTCCCACCCATTTATCATAAATACACCAATGTACAGCCTAGTTGATGACTTCATCAAAAAGAAAATTTTCTTCGCTGCAACCATCTTTTTAAAAATTTGTGTATATGACATTTACATAGAATTTGGAGAGTTATCAGGACAGGCGATAGCTTTCTTTCTCGAATAGTCGTGTGTGTATACTTGCCTTCTTCCACGATAACACCGACTTATCTCACCAGTCTGTCAAATCTGTTAATAGTCAAGAAATATGTTTCACCTTGAATACACTAATTCTGACCAAGGTTTGAACTTGATATGAAACTCATAAAGGATTTATTTTTTGTCGAAAGTTGAACTAAACCCACCACATTATTTATTTTATTCAATTCCATATGTTCCCGTAGACTGATTGGACTGAAGTGCTCGGTCGCAGGTTGACATGTCGGCTGCTAGTTCAGAGGCTCCGACGATGCCTGATCATGTAACCTGAAGTCAATTGGTAGATGGTGACTAGCAGTGGGATCCAGAATGCACATTTCGTCCTGTTGGGGACTCGTGTCTGGATATACTTGGATCCCGCATTGAGTGATGATGTTCCCACCGAGGCTCAAACCCAGTGCTCGTAGTTTCAAAAGCCAAAGCGTTATCTACTAGACCAACTGGGTCATTGGAGCCACCTCTTTCTCGTCCAACGGATCATATTAATTATTTAATTCAATTCTATATTCTACCATCCAGATAAAGAGTCCTGAATAGGACGAAAAACACATCCTGGATTCCACTGTTAGTCACCATTCACCGGTTGACTTCCACTACAGTTTCCTTTCAATAATCAACAAACTAAAAATTCAAGCGTTGGTTTGCGGGGATTTGATTGGTTTCAGGACTTCATGATGAGCTGACATTGGTTAGAGAACCATTGGAAAACCTGTGAGTACTGGACAGCTGTTTCGTCCTAGTTTAGGACTATTCAGCAGTACGCATCCACCACCAGGTTTCGAACCCAGGACCTTTTGGTTACAAGGCGAGCTCGTATACCATTAAACCACTGGGACCTTATCCAATAGCATACGATATCTAATTTCTGCCAATTCACGACATAGCGCTGAGATGAGATGCTCACTAGCAACTTGCCCTATTCAGGTAGGTAGTTACCTGGGGTTCTAGTGAGATTTCGTGACTAGTAGGGTGCAGCAGGTCGGGTGTGAGGACAAATACTCGCCACCGATGACATTGGCTAGGGGTCGTTCTAAAAACTAAAAATTCTTTGACAAAAGGTATTACCATACACTGGACTGAGTACACTTTATGCTTAAATTTATGTTTTCAGCACCGATTTTTTTCCGAGTCAAAACTAACGTCCGTAAATATTCAAATATAGTTATTTATCTACTAATTATATAATAAGTAGGCTGTGTGTTTATGCACTGCATAGTGAATAAAGTTTAAGTAATACGCTTATTCTTATTTAAGTTTATTTCCATTCCCATTCATTGTCGTTTTCCTCCGGAAGTTTTAAACAAGTAATAACCGTTCAATATGATTCATTTATCCATTTGGAAGATAAAGGATAAAATTTACTTTCTAATCTTCTACTGAAACTGACTATTTTCTTTGAATATAAAACATTTCCCAAGAACTATTGAACAAAAATATAGGGCAAGGGAAATCCGGTTTATAAACAGTTGTATTTTCTTCCGTATTTGTGGGTGGCTTATACAGGATTGAATAGACCAACTATATTGATTCTTCGTGATTTTCAACTTCCCTTCTTATCAAATCGGTCATTTGCATAAATTAGGTGGGATGTTGCATTAAACCAAGAGAAAAATATTCACATAATCTAAATATATGAATATGCTTGGATTTTTGAATCAGCCTGTTGTAAATATGTTAAATAATGAGAACATGTAATAAAATGTATACATCTATAGAATTTTACAATAAATTTGTTATTTATAAGACGGTCAGACTATTCTGTTCGATTTTCATTGAGATTAACATACATAATTTCATTCTCTGCTTTGCACGTGATGTGTCCTTATCACAATGAACAGTACTTTTAAGTCAACCTCTAACTGCCTAGTTTTGACAACAAGTTACTCATTATTTTATAGGGGAGTTAGCAGTGATAGTAATTTTACAAGTGGTAGTTATACCACTTTTGAACAATAATGACAACATACTCTCATGAAATACTTTTACGTGATTTATTAACATAAAAGTAGACCAGGAATACAGTAAACACTGAGATACTTTATAACGACTTGAACCCTTAATCTTAAGCTTTACGAGACAGTTGACGTAGTAAGTAAAGACAACATTATTCTGATCTATTTTCAGATATCAAAACACTTTGTTCACGTAAACAATAATGTTGATGATAGTGGCCTACTTCAGAATCTACCGGATTGAATGTCAAGCTTTTTACTCATTAATTACTAATCAATATTTAGCGACCAATGAATAAGTACATGAAAGTTTATTGATTAAGAATACAAATAAGCTTATAACTGGAAATTAATCAGAATATCTCTTATGAAATTTAGTGCTTTCATTGTTTCACTTATATTCGTACAAGTGAACCAATATTTTAGTGTTCAGTATTCCAAACAGACATCGTGGTTATATATTAAACATGTCAGTATTACTAGAAAAGGCATATTGGTAATTTCAGAAATATAGTGACACTTTATTCAGAGATTCATTAAAAAACTCCTACTAGTTCTGTTGCACTAATGAAGAATCCCAGTGACAACTCCTACATCCAAGCTTTGTTTTCTAACTGTAATGCAGCAAGAACCATTAACAAGATGAGAAAGTTCTTATTAAGGTATTGTCCGCTGCATAAGACTGAAATGTTTGATCCATGTATCAGAGTTTAATCTTATCATACAAGACTAGTGATGGGAAATTGATGAAAATTTAACCAATTAGCAGTTTCAGAGAAGAACCTCTCATCTTTACCTTTACCTCTTACTTGCCTCAGATATCTGGAGGCCTCCTTAAATCACTGAGCTACCAGGATTTTTTTCTGCAGTCATGTCAAATGATTACCACATGAACTTGTGCGCATATTTATTTACCTTCCAACCAAACGCTGTATTACTCCTGAAAGAGATGAGGAAAAAACTTACAGAATTGGTTCTCTCTTCATATAAAATAGTACCACGTTGCATAATATACTTCATATTATCACTTTACGTGTAGATCCTGTATGATGAGGAAATATATTTTAGAACTAAATACGCTGAAGATTTCTGTACTATGAGTTCAAATATTGTCTGAGATAAAGCTTAATTATTATAGTCAAAAATTCTCAAGCATTAAAGTAAAAGGGGGACTTTCTTATTATTCGATTCTAGTCATTCTATCGGCAGATAGCCGTTGTTAGCGACCTAGATGCTGTTAATTTGACCCCTTTGGAGACTGACGCTGCCTTTAAATCTAGCCATTGTTCGTATACATTTTGATTATTTTACCAGATACAACAATTTGAGATGACTGAAACGTTAACTACATTATTTGGTTGATGAATAACATTCTGCACTAGGTTATCTCATGATTTATGCTGCAATGCAAAATTAGTCTGATGATTATTCATCATTCATACTTACAAAAGCAGTTTGTGGCAAAACAATAGTACACATTCACTCTTCAAAAAATTAGTTTCTTCAGTGCTATTTTTCGCAGAGTGCGTCGTTGATATAGCGGTTAGGACGCTTGCCGACCATGCACATAGTCCGGGATTCGATCCCCGACCACAGATGCACTCGTTTACCTTGCTGAGCTGAAATAATGCTGGTAAAGTGGAAAGGTTGGACATGAGGCTAGCAACCCCATCCTGTAAAGTAAAAACACTGCTACAGAAACTTCAAGCCACTGGCTTAAAACCCTGTGTTCCACTGGGGAACGTGAAGGAAAAAAGTTTTCGCAGGTTTTTTTTTCACCTCTAAGGGTTATCAGAATACATGAGAAGTAAACTTATATTTTGTCAAACATTTTACGGCAACATTTACTATCTCTCACTGTCCAATAGCTATATGATGTAAATGTTTCTTGGTAAGAAGCACTATTTTCATTGACTAGCTTTCTTTGGTATAATTTATCTTAACGAAGCATCATCAGTCACAGCAGTATGTGTCCTTAGAAAGACTGATACACAAGGTGATCAGTCACAACATTCATGACTGCCATTGATAACTTTTAGTACCTTGGGAATTTTTATTTAATGAACATAGTTATTTCGAAATGCTAAGCTAAGAGTTTCCTGCCCACATTCTCAAAATCCTGGTCAAAGCATAGTAGTTTGGCCAAAATGTCCTATCACTTGGTTCCATTAAAGTTTTTTAGTTAATATTTACTATTATGACTCTTCTGAAGTATTTTGGAATGAAATAACAACTTATATAACACATTTAATAATCACACTTTTGTACTTTCTACCTTCATTAAAGCTTAACCGACTAATCAAACTAAATCTACATGGATTTATTTGTTTCACGGAGTACACACTTGCTAACCACTTAATTTTAGGGTTTTATCGTTCTCATGAATGATGTTGTTGAGAATAAATACTGATAAACTTTCCAGTGGGCCGTAAGATATGTTCGACAATTTTTGATTTCTCTTCTTTTTTAGACTGATGATAAATTATCGCGGAAAAACCTTTTCTCTTTCCCTATTAAGCCAATTTACCTTTATATATATATATATATATATATATATATACTGTAAAGCAGTTAAAGAAATTTGTACTGACCTGTTTCGAAGTGCTTGCATTATTCCAGAACATCAGTGTATAAAATAATATCTTCAATAACCAAATGTTTCCGTGCGTTTACAACCAAAACCACCATAGCTAACAGTTACTGGAATGTGTTAATTCATAGTATACTATATTCAACCAAAATGGCATCAGTAAGGCAACACCGAGCAATGCATCGCTGTGTCTACCAATCAGTCATTCAAGCCATCAATAAAGAGTCAATAATTTATAATGAACAAGCAAAAAGTTTCAATCATTATAAGTTAAAATTGTGCGGCACTAATCATAATAATAATAATAATAATCACCAACTGATACACATTATTGCATTTATACTCAAGCGATTAAATATACTGCATCAGTCAAATAAAAGATTGGTTGAAGGGTTTTAGCTGATGATGAAATCTTCCAGCCAACCAAAATAAATCCCTTCAAAACCAATACTTGAAGATATAAAAGACTGGTGAAGGATTCTGAAATTGACTCAATACAAGACTCACATTTGATATTCGTTGTTGGAAATAAATATTTAAAAAAAAACAAATAACAACGTGACGGGCTTTTATTTCAAAAATAATAGATATTTTGTTATTTATTACAAAGTTAACGTTATTTCCTTGTAGCTAGATGTAGAAATTCTTCGCGTAATCTAAGATTTTCTTTTAAATCACCAAGCATTGCTGTTGTCACTGTGGTAGAGTTGATTTTTTGTACACCACGCATCACCATACACATATGTGTTGCCTCAATTATTACACCTACACCTCTAGGATTAACAGCTTCATTTAGAGCGGTAGCAATTTCTTTGGTAAGCCTTTCTTGTACTTGTAATCTTCGGGAGTATACTTCAACAATACGTGCTAATTTACTTAAACCAAGAACTTTCTTATTCGGTAAATAACCAATAGAAACACGCCCAATAAATGGTATCATATGATGTTCACACATAGAAAACATTTCAATATCTTTAACCAGTACTATTTCATCATGATTCTCCTCAAAGATAGCCCCATTGAGTATATCACTGACACGTTCTTCATAGCCTTTTGTAAAATATAGCATAGCTTTGGCAGCTCGTTCTGGTGTTTTCAATAGACCTTCACGATTTGGATCTTCACCAACAGCAATTAAGATTTTATGAAATGCTGAGATTAAATCTGCATAATTTTCATTTATCCCAGCTGTAATTGGTCCACAGACACTATTCATATCTGATACACCCAGCATACTACCACCGAGTGCCATTGAGCCGTACAAAAAATCTCTCTGTGTATCCCATAGAGATGCTTGACTTAGCTTAAGACTTGACTGTAAACTTAAACAATCCGACTGATGAATTGGCTTCAAATAGATTTGTGATCTTGACATAATTGATTTTTCTTTCTGCATTTTATCAAAATTTAAATTTGAACACTGCTCATCCGTATTACTTTTATCATTTCTAGCTGATGAATCATTTAACTGAACTGACAAACGTGGTTCAAAATTTTCACATTTTATGCTGAAGCTTGATGAACGTCTTTTAGGCGAACAATTGTTTTTCGATTCATCTGAATTCAATGATATAATACCAGAATAACAAGCGCTCTTACGTTGATTATTATCAGATCGATTTTCAATCTTTTCAGAGTTCTTAGTATTTTTATTATTAATCGCAACTATATTATCACCTTGTGGACTGTTTGTTTTTTTGAAACCTGAAGTAAGCGCTTCCCGTGTTAGACGAAATTTCCTTTTAATTAACTGGTAACCTTTCACTGGACGCTTTGGTGGTTCATCGATCAGATTACCCTTGTTATTTTGTCTTTGATTGTTAGAACATTCTTTGTATGCACAGTCATCTATATCATGATTCCCTGTCAATCTCCCACCATGATATTCTTGATGATTAAGAGACATTTTACTGAATTCATCATTGCTTTTGCTATGTGTATATGACTTTTCATCTTCTATTGGTATCATTGTTGTTATTGTAGTAGCTAATGGTGATGAATTGGACTGACACTTCCGTTCGCTTCCGTTCATGTCTAAGACATGGGAAACAGAATATCTTAACATTGAAACACCTTTGGTTATCACTGATTCCTTGCCGACAAGTAGTTTACACACCTACGAGAAAAGATAAGAAAATATCTGCAATGAAACGTCACAATGGCATTAAATTTTTAAAATTTAGGAAACCTCATGGATCTACCTTTCTTTATATTTCAGTGAACATATGTCAAACCTATGAGCACAGAGAATCAAGAGAAACATATCACTGTGTCAAACTGATAATCATTTTTAATATCTTAAAAATGAAACAAAAGCAGAGAGAAAAAGCTAAGTAAGGTGTGAAAGGTGTTCACAAAACCGTATCTCTATACATAGTTTAGGTGACAATTTCAACTATGTTTTGTAGATGACTTATTTTAACCGGAATTTATCATCTTCACTGTATAAATTCTCCATATCGGTAGAATATGCGGTCATCGAAATTCCCCAACTGTTTACTTATCATATTTTAAAAGCGTTAAAAGTGTTGAACAAACTTGCACTTCAGATATGAGTGACAGTTAAACGGCAGTGAAAGAATACTTTTCTATAGTTTGGTTTGTAAGGGTTTGTTATGTTTTTATGAGTTGTTCACGGATTGATATCAGTTAGAGAACCATTGAAAACCAGCACTTGAGTACTGGACAGCTGTTTCATCCTAGTTTGGAAATCATCGTCAGTATGCACCGACTGGGATTCGAACCTGGTTTTCAATGGTTCCCTAATTGATATCAATCCGTGATTAACTCGTAAAAACATAACAAATCCTTACAAACCAAAACAATAGAAAATTAATTTGATGCTCACTAGTGACTTACTACAGGTAGACGTTTCCTGAGTTCTAGTGAGAATTCGTGACCAGTGAGGTTCAGTTAGATGTCACGTGTGTGGATGGATGTTCCACCAATGACAATAGTTGGGGTCGCGCTAAATCACGAATTGGCAGAAGTTAGAACTCACGAGCCATTGAATCGCGTCCCAGTGGCTGAATGGTATTCGAGCTCGCTGGCCTTGAAACCGGAAGGTCCTGGATTCGAATCCCAGTGGGTGCGTACTGACGATGATTCCCAAACTAGGATGAAACAGCAGCTGTCCAGTACTCCCTGTTTTTCAGTGGTTCTCTAACTGAAAGAATACTTGTCTCAATGAAAGTATAATACAGTCGTCTGATTGCTATCCCTGATATCTACTTTATGCATTATGTGCCATTTGATACCTATTCAAATAGTCTCTGACATAAACTTATACTTACTAGACACAAGATTGTGTACCTATCTTATTATATTTTATTTACCTATCAAAACATCTCATACCATTTTAGTTCCATTGAATATTTTGCGTTTAACTTCAAGAAAAACATATTAGGTACTAATGTCTGATGGGGTTTCTTCAGGTATAAGACCTTAACCATAGTTTTAAAATGTGAAGAATATTTGTTATGCAGTACGGGGACAGTATATTTCCAACAGGGTGCAGACCTCTAACAACAACTGTCTTCGCTCTATACTTAAGATCAGATAGCCGGACCGGAAAGAATCACCAAGAAGAAACTATGGGAACAAACAAAACAAGAACCAATCGCCAACCAACAAATATGCAGGGTAAAGTAGAGATCGTGGATTGGACACTCGTGGCTGAGGAGGCCGCTGGGTGACATTGCGCGTCAGGCCATTGCTCTAGTGGAACCCGAAAGGGAGGCGGCGAGTGGGACGTCAGTGCAACGGTGACATGGAGGAGATCATGTGAAGAGGAGTTGAAACAGTATGGAGTAACATGAATGCAGGTTAAAAGTACAGCAGAAGACAGAAGCATGTGGAGACGCGCAGTTGAAGCCCTACGTTCCACTAGGAACCCAAGGGAACAATAACAATAATACAGAGTAAGTATAGAAGTTGTATTTTTTAAGCTAAGGTTTTTTGGGGGGAACATTCAGTGTTATTCTAGTCAGTTTATTTAGCACAAGTCTGAAGTTAATCGTGTTGAAAATAATGAATATGACTGATACGATACTTTGCTGCACACAGACGTGTCTGGAAGGACACTTCTTCTGTTGCTGTACCAACCACAACAAAAGTAAAGAGCATTCATAGAAAGGTGATCTCATTGAAATGATCAGACAGTCTCAAATTGTCATAATTTTTTGTAAAAGCTTGGACACCTTTTGACTAGAATGTATTATTTATGCCTGAAAGGAACACAGAATAAGCTGTTGTAAGTTTATACGCTTACGCCTTTTTATCAATCGACTTCTAGATCAACTAAGTCTGAATAAAACTGCTGATGAAAACATAACAATGTGGTTAGTTTCGTCACAGAAATTAATGAGCTAAATTTCTTTTCCTGGAAAAACTGTGTTGTGCATTTTACTACTTTTTGAGGAAATTCTACTGGTGTACTATCTACATTATAAACTGTTTTACTGGTACTTGGCTGGATTAAACGAAACAGTTTCACTTCGTTATCGAATGAGGTCACTATTACTTCTGAACATAACAACAAAAGCTTCTAATCATCTCTCCAACTATGTGAGTGTTTAAGAAATTTTACTGGCTTATTGTGCATGAAATCTGTGACAATAAACTAACAGATTTAATTGAACCTGCATGAGTGTGAATAAGGATAAGTATTTATAAGCAACAGGTAAGTGGTTCAATGATAGAATACCTAACAACCACCCAAGTATCACAAATTTGTTTCCCTATCGAAGCACTCATAAGCCTCACCCAGTTTACTAGTCGTCATTAAGCCTGAAAAGGAGAGAAGGTTGTATATGAGGCTACTAACGCCATCCTGTAAAAGCAACTCAATGACTGCTGAAACTTCAAGCCTCAAGCATTATATTCCACTCAGAATTCAAAGGAATGAAGAAAAATGTTTGCAAACATGATGCTTTTCCAACTTAAAAGTGGTTTATTTGTTTTCACGTGTAACTTGAAAACTTTTTCTACATATTTCTGTTTACACTTAATGAAAGATAAGCAGTCATATAATAATTTCTGGTTTGATTTTCAATATTTATTACAATTGATTCACCTAAGTTGAGCTGTGTATGACTATAGTTTTATTGGCAACCAACTATAACTACAACATGGCCAAAGTCTGAATAAATAGCTAGAAGTTTGCATACTTCTTTATACAGACATAATTGAAAACATTGTAGTTTATTTAGGTTGATTCTTTAATGGTCGTGATGGGACCTAATAACAGCTTTAATTTAGTCATGACCTATTTCAGGTTGAAGGTTAACCCAACTGTCTGACCTGCGGCCAAATCGTCATTAATAGTTATCTGAATGGCTTTCCTGAGAGACTGGACACTAAACTTACGTATTAAAATCTCAAAAAAGAAAAAAAACGCAATGATATCTGTAAACCGCATTTGATTCAAAATGTTATTCAAGTGTTGGTAGAAGTAACTGTTTGTTTCATCCAAGCTGAATCTGGATTAACATAAAGTGAAAAAAAACTAAGTGATATCATTCTTGTAAGTTAATTCGTAATCTAACTCACTCCCGCTACCTTACAATAAATATAATTCCCTGTGGATTTATGCAAATTCAGTTTTGTGCTGAATGCAACAAAAGCCATTGCTAGGTTGAATACTATTTATTATCTCCTTCATTTATCCCACTGAAAGCTAGGTTTATGAGGATACTTGTTACTTCAGTCCAGATTACTGTTACAAGACATGGATATTCAACAAAAATAAGCACTTGGGCTGAGGAATATTTAAAGACAATGAATTACGGCAAATGAAATTCAGTCTACATTAAAATATGACAATAATTATATAATGGAATACAAGTAAATATCTTATTATACAGTTTAGAACATCTTGAGTATGATCATTGGCGAAAACATTTAGGAATACTCTACAACTTCCTAATTATAGAACACAGGATCACAATTCAAACGGGGCATGAGACAACTACTGGGTACTTATCAATAGACTGCTGCTAAAGGAAAGGTGTGGCCATAGATCCTCTTGGCAGAGGTCACAAATTCACGGCTATTTGAGAGCATCCTGAAAATTTCCTTACCTCATCATCCTTATACTTGACTGAAGGGTCTAGAAGAAAATTTTTACTAATTTATTGTTGACTGTTAATGACAAGACAGATATCTAGCCATTGTGCATGTTGTATATACATATATCATCAAGACGTGGTTTTCATACAGTGAACTAAAATGACTGAAAACTCTCTAATTAAATAAACTTTACACAGGTTTTTTTATTTCGTTTTTGGTTAACGAGTTATTTTTCATTCTTTAAACGACTGAACAACCATAAAGTTTATACAGTATTCTAGCTACAGTATCCATCTAAGAAGTTGGGGAGCAAATGAAAATAAATTATAATTATGCTTATGCAATATTACATAAGCAAAACAATTGTCACCAGTATGCATGAATGTGTAACTATCAAAGAGGAAATGTAAATTTCGTTGTTGGAATATCCGAATTTATTCCCTCTCAACTTGTTTTCATTATTCAAGATGTTCATTTGTCATATGCGTCTGATTTCTGAATTTATTAACTTTCTACTTTTGGTGGTACTTTCATCAAACCACGTAGATAAACTGCGAAGTTTTCACTGCTCTTTTAGATAACATTTAAGGTGGTGACTTCGAAATCAGGGCATTGTGGATGTTATCTAGAAGGACAATAGAAGCTTAGAAACCAATTCATCCGGCGTAAAGAGCACAGTAACTCCGAAAACACTCACTTGAGATACATATCCGCTATATCATTCCTACATCTTTCAAAGAGATGTTCTTTCATACATATCCAAACCAAGTTCACTTTTAACAGTTCAAAAAACCTTGGGCATTCGGTATATGGAATTCAGTATTATAAAAGCTTTTGTATTTCTCAATAAATGAAAAACAAAACAATATCGTTTTTCTAATCATTCACTGGGAAATACAGAATTTCTATCAGATGTTCTCTCAGTACATTAATTGTCTTTTGCAAACAGAAAAGTCCCTTAACTAAGGCTTTGTCCGTTAATTTAATCAGCATTTAAAAACCTACTGTGTATATTTATTAAGTGCGTTTATTCTCAAAAACGTCAGA